ACCTCATGATAACACACCATTGTGTAACATTGAACCATGCATATGATATGCCCAACTTACTTGATTTATTTGAACTGTTAGAGTGTTTTGGAACCTCACTGGGCTGTGTAGCTCATCCCACGTTGTGGTTTTCTTTTACAGGGTTCGAGACCAAGGGTGCTCGTGAGTAGTACTAGAATGTTTTCTTTTGAAGACTTTAAGTTATATTATAACGGATGGCTATTGTACTCTTTTCCGTTGGGTTGTATTTAAGCTTGAAAGTTACATAATTGTAAATGTGAGATATTTGAAGTACTTTAATTATGTATTGAAATTACTTAAAGTATTTCGAGCTTTTGAATGATGGATTATAGTGAGTCCTGGCGAGAATTGGGCAGGCGTCCCGCGGATACCCTTTGGTTCGCCTTAGGGAGAAGTGGGGGCGTCACATGTATAGGCTTCAAGCAAGTTCAAAGTTAGTCATCACGCTGCTTCTTCAAAGGATTTCCGCGTGCAAGATTAGTTGGAGTGAAAGTTGAGGGTGCATCGGTGGATAGTGAGGTAGGTGTATTAGCTTCCGAAGAATTCGAACCAATTTCAGGAGTCACAGTTCCAAACACCAAGGCTCTCTTTGCTGTGGTCATTGGAGGTGGCATTTTGGTTGCAGTAGCTGAAGATTCAGCAATGGTATCAAGCAGTTTTTGGTTGATGGACTGAAAAATTCATTCTTCTTAGCAGACAGCTGGACAGTATCATGAAGGTTTAGGATTTTTTCATTCGTTTCTGCAGTTGCGATTGCCATTGGAACATGAGCTAATTCCTCTGTAGTGTATGCCTTGACAATACTATACTTGCCTTTCTTCTGGCCTTGATAATCTGCCTCATAGTAGTATATGAAACACACAATCGAATGTTTTTCAATTGCAGATGCTAGTTTAGGAGAAAAGTTAAGCTCCTACAATTTTTTATTTTAAAGTATAAATAATTATTAAGCATATCCGGAAATAGTAGCTATTTGTTTGGAAGTAGAAGTTCTTGTTGTATATTCTAATTGGGAAAAGACTTGGACAATGATATGCAAATTGTGAATAATTTCATATTGTGCAAAAATAATTGGATCCCAATCATAAGTTATGGAGGGAAAAAAAGTGCAATGGTCCAATGTTGAGCATTCATTCTATTTGTCCTGGTCCCAAAAAAAATAGTATAAGACAAATGACACAACTCTAAAACAAAGATAAACCCAAATAGATATATTGTTTGATTAAAGTTGGGGAATAAACTAGGTCATAAAGATCAGCGAAGAACTTTCTTTTTTTGAAAAAAAAAATCTTCAACTAAACACACAATATACTACTAATTTCAAGCACAAACAAATCATTAATATTTTTTGTACTTGACCCTTTTTTATTTTATACATAGTCATTCTCATGATTATAGTCACTATACTTTTACATAGTGAGAGCAGTATTTATACCCAAGTAAAGGTGCATAAAAACCAGAATATTAGTTAGTTGTTACTTGGTCTAATACTCAAACAATGATATAAGAATAGATACTCATAGTTTATTGATAAAGTTAGTCCCGGCCTAGCTTTTAGTTTGTTACTTGGTCATTATTAGCTAAATGCAATAAACCTATTAGTTGTGGTTATTTCTTGTTTAACAATATTCATGAAGACTGGAGTTCGGCAACACAAGTATTTCAAACAAGAATGGATGAAGTCTATGAAGCAAAAAAAAAAAAAAGAATCGATGAGATTAAGCAAGACGTATTAAACTGGTAGTTCTATCATCATGCAAGAGCTAAACTTGTAGTAGTAATTTTCGTTGGCATGATTGTTAGCTTACCTCATTACGAGCTTCCCAGAATTGAAGAGCTGTAAATGGTATAACGCTCTCAGCATCAAGCCCAAAGATTATAGTTTTTATGGAGCTTGTACCATCATCCACAGCAATTCCAATTTGGGTCCTAATACACATTGAGAATAAAACATTATATTCTAATTTTTTATTATAGGAGAGTGAAACTTAATTCGGTAATTACCTTGCTACAACTTTGCTCTCTTCTTTGCAAGATGGGCATCTCACAACCCATCCCACATCAATATTGCTAGCCTTTTGGTAGCTCTCACATGCATTAAACCAGAATTTTTGCAGCTCAGGGTCAACTTGGTTTTCCCTGTTATCCAAGCTGTTTTGACCTAATAGATTTTTTTGAACAGAAAGAAGAATGCCTAAGTTTTGCATTGTTTTGGATAGCTAAAATATATAAATAGGTGGATTTTGGTGGTCAAAAGCAAACGGCCAAAGGTGTGTGCTTAGGACAAAGTAGAAATTATCAAAGCAACATAACAATCAGCAAAAAGATGGCAAAAAAACCTAGAAAATGGGAAATAATTAACAAACCCCTAATATCCTAACATGATCTAGGACTCTTAAGCTTTTAGCAAAGAAGAAGCAAGTATAGAGCTTCTATGTGACATGTAATTTGTGACTGAGCTCTTTTTCTTAAAAAAAATGAGTTTGGTACAAACTTCCCATTATCTTTTTCCTTTCCTTTTTTTTATAGATGGACTACAATTAACTGTTATTTGGTGCTTGATGACCATCTAAACCCATTAACTTGTAGTAGTGGATGGTGAAGTTTTGGGGATCTGGTCTCATACTTTACATTAAAGTGTTACAAAGTGTTTTCGATGAGTGGCAATACTGATAATGTACTGGTGTTGCTCCTAGAGTACTCTACTTTTAATCACTTACATGTTAGTTTACCTGTTCCATGGTATTAAATGCTAGATGTTTTCTTGAAGAAGACTTTTACTACAACATGTGATACCAAGTCTACTTAGGGTGATTTCTGAGTTGGTGATATTTCGTTTACTTTCTGTATATGCTTTTGGTTATCCCGAAACAAGTTTCTGCACCCTTTCTTAGTCCCCCATAAGATGGTTTTATAGAATTAGGAAAGGACATATGCTATAGAAGGTTTAGACTAGGGGTGCAATCAAGTCAAGCCGCTTGCGAGTAGCTTGCGAGCGGCTTGGTCAAAAGCAAACCGAGTTTGAGCTCGAGTTCGAGCTACTCGTTACATTCAACGAGTCGAGTTCGGGCTCCAAAAATAAATACTCAAGTGCTCGACGAGTTTAATCGAGTTTTCATATTATATTTATATTATATATTTTGAAAAAATATTTATAGGTTTAGTTCAAAACTCGAGCTCGAGTAAATCGGGCTTGATATTTACTTGAGTTCAAACGAGTCGAACTCGAGTTTAATTTTATTTTATTGAGTCGAGCTTGAGTCCAAATTTATATACTCGTTCGAGCTCGAGTAACACTGATTGTGATCGAGTTCGAGCTCGAATATGGTGCTACTCGAGCTCGACTCAGCTCAATAGCACCCCTACTTTAGACCATTGAAAATTGCCAAGGATCTTCTATTTGATGTTTTGTTTAGGACATCAAAACTTTGCACTTTGTATTATCAATCTATTTTTCGTTGTTTAGCAGAAACATTAATATTCAATTTAGCACAACCACTGAAGACCCACGATTAGCTGCTCAAATGGACATTAATTTGTTTCACAAAGGATCACACAAAACAAATAGCAGCAGTAAACTTAAATGGATTTGTATGAGTAATAAACTAAAGTTGTGAAATAGAATATACTAAAATGAAAATTGTCAAAATTTTAGAACTATTAATAAATAATCAAACCAAGACAAATAATGGAAATAAGTGAATGTAATTGGAGTTGAGAACATGATTTTTGAGAATTAAAAAAGGAAAGCTATTAGTTGATTGATAAAAAAAAATGTACTTTGAGTAAAAAAGTGAAAAAAGACTATAATTAATTGTTACCAAAAAAAGAATAAATCGACCAAGAAACATAAGCAAATAATTTTTTTGTAAAAACGTGACAAAGATAGAGTATCCACTTGGTAGAATATAGAAATAGCTAATTCAAGAACCTACCATAACAAAAACAGTATAACAAACTATGCACACACATATATAGATATATTAAATTATATTAGATTCCATAAGTTAGTTGGGCGAATGGGGTTGTAAACGAAGTAAGATAGTCATTGACCTTTTTTCTTTCAAAATCAATTTTTTGTAACAGATTGAGAGGCTAATGAAGTGGATTTGGTTCCTCTCCCATGGATTCTCTCTCCATTTTCCAAAGTGCACATGTGAATGGATGTATGACACGTCACTTTATTTATCAATTAAGATTAGGATCAATTGAACTTAAAATGATCATACTCCTATACCATAATGCATATCTAGATACATGACACGTGTCTTTATTTTTATTATCAATAAGAATTAGAATTAATCAAATTTAAAATGATCATACTCCTATACATCTCATGCATCCAAATGCACACCGTAAGAAACGAAGAGGAGGTCCACCAAAGAGAAGTCAAATCCTAATGAAGTTAGATAGTTCTTGCAATTTTCTTTTCAGAATTAAGACTTTTCAAATGCTTGTCTAATAGGCATTCGTTGTTACATTTAATATATTTGCACCATTTTTATTATTTAAATGCACAATTTTGCATTTATAAACTTTACTTTATTTTTTCCAAAAATATAACACTTGAGACCCACTTTTCCCCCCTCTTGAGACCCACTTAATGAGGCAAACCTTCAAAATCGACATATTACCTTGATTTTCTTATATACCGCAATTGTGCAATTATATATTAATCATTACGCAATGCCTAGGTCTTTTTGGCATTATAAGTTGTAAGATGATTAAGTATAACTATGGCATCAATCCAAACTTGTGCGTACAAATGAATTTCATCATCATTCCAGGCTCCAAAAAAAAAAGGATCATTACTTCTGGTAATCATTTTTCTGTAGCATTGGATTTGAAAAAAATGCAGAGTAACAGGTATTGCATCCCTAAACATTAGGTGGAGCATTGCTGGCCCTCTTCATGCATCAAGATCAACAGTTGTTGGATGCCTAAACATCAGGTGCCGCATTTCTGGTGTTCGTCATGCATCAAGATTCAAGTCCAGATGCTTCCAGCTTCGTGCGGGCAATTTGATCAAGGCGCTCCTCCATCTCTGCTGTTAGATAATTCTTTGAATCCCCAGTGACACCAAGCCTGAAATAGCCACTATTAGCCAACCAATTCCATGTATTTACCCCATGCTTGTTAACCGCCAAGTTATTGAGTCTCTCCAGGCAACAACACCTCCACAGAATTTTGTCCACTTTTTCCGTTGCCCCTTTGGGTCCTTCTTTAGCTCAACATTTTTCATGAACAATATCTTCTGAGGCATCTTTGAGCTTTCTTTATGATACTCCAAGGCATGATCAAAAATAGGTCCATAAAGGTAAGTTCCATTGCAGAAGGACTCAAATGCTTTCTCCAAAGAAATTTGTTGTTTGATACCAATCACTAGTGGTCTTTCTGTACCACATGTGTCAACTTTGGTGCTATTGAAATAGTGCCAAAATGAGATAAAAGTGTCTTTAGGATTTCGAGTAAGGTAAACAATTTTGCAACCTGAGTTCCTAATTGAATTAGGAAGAAGAATATAAGGCAAATGTGTGTGAAGGAGTCTAGGAGAAGCCATACCAGAAAGCACAGAAGCTGAGTTAGGAACAAAGACCATAGACTCAATAGTTGGAACAAATAGATGTGGACTGCCCTTCGTGAGAATATCTTCATTTTCTTGATCCACACCATTATTGATGCTCAAACAAAGGGCCTTAAGCCATGTAGTCCCAACTTTGAGAGATGAAGCTAATATGATATCATCGTTACGCGGGATTCAGTTGATAAAGCTATGGTGGATTGAAGAATGAAAGGATGAAACCGAATACCTTTCCATTGATAGATTTCAAAGCTCTCCCAGAAGTTTTCTTTGGGAAGAGATTCAAGAAAAGCTTGAAAGGAATTACATTCAATTGATTTAGAATTCATGTTGAGCAATGAGGCTGCAGATATATTGCATATACGAAAAAGCGGGCTGGGCAATAAACTGAGCTGGTGGAGTTTATATATGTAAAGAAAAATGGCAAAGTGGTAGACTGAAGTATTTGGGTTGCCCACGCCACATTTTTTGACTAAGTATTGTGAGGCTTTGTACCATGTATTTATGGCTAGTTAGAAGTAGCAAACTCAGCCTGCTTAACCAGAGGAAACGTTTTCCTGATTCGAGAGTGGACCTTACCATAATTTCAGGCAATGGAGCATTAAATCAAGCAGGAGCCGTCCTGTTACCAAAGGAAGAGGATAGCAGCGAATTATCTTACTAATAAACGGGGGGAGGGGGTGGGGGCGAAGAAGGTAACAGGAGGAAAAAAAATTGTGCAACCTCCAACCTCCAACATGCTTCTCAGACACAAAACAGAAGAAAGAAAAGACGAGCTCGGAGTATATACTGTTGGAGCAAGTAAATAACAAGGTCAAGCATGGTGCTTTTAGAGGGATTTGGAGCCTCACAATGTTCAAAACCCACTATGTATCTCTAATAATATTGGGTAGGTGTAATCAAGTTATAAACACAAGTTTTACATCAAAATTGTACCAATTTATATTAATTGTTATAAAAATTATACAGTCTATTAAAACTCCACGACAACTCAACTTATGAGATTCCGGATCTACATTTTAGAGTGGCTACAAGGCAACTTAGATACATCCACATGCACTGCAACCTTTCAAAGGTTGGTAGAAACCTTCCGGTTGTAAAAATTGAGAGATACTTCAAAAGAAAAAGTCTGATAAGGCTACAAAGCCACCGTTTGGGTACAACTTTTTCCTAGAAGGGAGAAAAATTATTTGCAAGTGTTCCTAAAAAGTTGATGGCCATGATTTAGCTCGAAAAAAAAAATGTAAGGTTCAAATCTCATCTTGTATATCAATTTCAACATTATGTGTAAGACTCACAAAATTCTGTTCTATAATTACAAGTTGTTAAAATTGAATTACATTTTGAACAAATGAGATTTTATCCTATTGAATTGGACAAAAATTGTTCCGAACGGCTTTTTTGATGGCTGCTCGGCCCTCTCGATACTCCAAGGAAACTGTGCATGTACTTCTTTTTTCCTTTTCGTTTTGGTGGTGCGAAACTATGCAAGTACACGGCCTAGCTCCTCTTTGTGGACAAAGAGCTCTGGGGGTTTGTGTATGTGTGTGTGTGTGGTGCGCGGGGGCGGGGGGGGGGGGGTTACTGTGAGTCTATGACCGGCATTGAGGTTCGCTTGTTCAATAGTGAACTTCTTGAATTTGGGTAGGTGCACTATGGCTGGCATGTATTTGGATGGTGGATTTTTGGAAATACTGGGAGTATTTGGATACAAAGTTTATCTCAAATAATATTTCGCTTGCATCATAAACATATTTTTCAATCCATCTTTTTATATTTCCAACCATCTTTTTATCTCACATACATCACATCATAAAAAGTGCTACAGTAATTATTTCAAATAATATCCTATGTTTTTTTTTAAAAAAAATTATTGTAATATCTTTTTTATGTAATGCACGCAGGATAAAAGATGATTAAAAATTGTGAATTTGCCTATTTAATGGCGAATTTTTGAATTTTGGTAATGTTCATTGAAACTAAAAAAGAAAAAAAAAATTGGTGTTGACATTAGCGCCGGCACCTTGTGAAATTGGCAGCTCCCAATAGGCGAAGCCCTCTTTTATATTTATAATAAAAGGTGTTGACTAGCGCCGAACATTTTAGAAATTGGCACCCAGGCACCGGCGCCGCGCGAGATGCTAATCTAGGGATGGCAACGGGGCGGGATTGGGGCGGGGGACGCCCCTTTGCCTATTAATTTCCCCCCGACCCTCACCTCCCATTCCCCCCGCCCCGTCCCGCTTTCCCTGCGGGGTTAATAAAATTTTTTTCATGGGATTAATAAAATTTTATTATAGCTAAATTTTAATAAATAATCAAGTACTAAAATATCAACACATCATCAAGTTATTATTCATTGTAATTTTACAATTGAAACTCATAAAAACAATTAAACAAAAGTTATTTGAATACAATTCAACATGATGAAATAAATACAACTAAAATAGTTAAGTTTTCACTTTTGGTACAAATACAATTACTAATTCATTATTGTGTTTGCGCTTTTTTTTGAGAAAAAAGTGTTATTCTATTAAGTGTAATTAGAAATTTAGTATAACTAATTAATAAATTCTATTAGTAGACATGTCTAATTATTCGTATAATTGATAATATCAATTATATTACATACACTAATATACATTAAATAATACATCTAACTAATAATATCATTATCATAAGTTTTTAACTAATTAAATTACATATTATATATAATTATATATATATTTTTTGCGGGTAGCGGGGCGGGGGTATACTCCCCCACCCCCCTCTCCGTTTCTAAACGGGGGGTCCCCCCCATCCCTATACTAATCTGCGAAGCCCTCTGGCCTGGCGTTGTCTAGCGCCGAATTTTTCTGCACTCAGCGCCGCCTAATGAAAATAGGAGCTAAGCTCTCTTCCGTTCATGGAACGGCGCCGAATTTTTTTTTTTTTTAAATTTGAGCCGCCAAATGATAATAGGAGCTAAGCTCTCTTCCATTTATGGATTTTTTTTAAGCCTGCTCAACGGGTGCCTATTGGATATTCGCGCTAAAATATACTTCAAGTGCTGAAATTTTTAAAAAGGTAAGATTAATTAGATAAAGTGTAATAAATGCAAGGAGGACTGAATTTTTAAAAAGGTAGAATTAATTAAAAAATATGTATAAATATAAAAAATAATTATTATTATTAGCATGTGTATATATATAACAGATCAGGTGAAATTTATGCGTGTTTATACTTAATAGGTACCCATTAGAAAAATCTATTTTTTTTAACCTGTATTCTTGGGATATTTGTTATAACTAGAACACTCTTAACTTATTATATAAATACACTTGAAATCTTGACACGTCAGTTTGTTAAAACCCTTTACTTGACTAGCACGGCAGTTTGCAAGAATGTTAAATTTTTATAGATTCTTGACCGATCAAATAGTGAAATCAAGCAATCCTTGTAAAACCAAACTAGCTAGTATTCCTAGCAATTTCACAATTAGATTTTGATTCAATTTATTTGATAATAAGGATTGCATAGAATTGCCTATCACATTTCGTAATTGTTGTACCTGATGATTTGCAATTTCTTTAAGGGATAACTTCAGAACCTCCCACGAAACTTTCAACAATTTCACTTCAAGCTCCTCTAATTTTAAATATCACACCTACCTCTCTTCTTGACTTAGAATTTATACAATAACCTTCCCAAAAGAATGACAATCATCCTCTGCAAAAATAGTGGCCAATTTATTTTTTCAAAACGGAAAAATTGTAGTAAAAAAATCAAATGGCTATCCAAACTTAAAAAACTCACTACCAAGCATTTCCCTTCACTAAATAGTTTTATCATCACCACTACCATTTATTCTCCAAATTAATCCATTTCTTTTGTATATCCAAGTTTTTTATCCTTTACCATAATCACAATCTTCATATCAGACATATTTCAGTTTCTGTCATGCCCCTAAATTTTCCCATCTTTCATTCTTCTAATTTATTCTCTTTTTCTCTCCCACCAAAGTTCAATAAAACAATTGCAAATTCAAGCATGCAATAGTAAATTTGGCTAAATGAATAAGGAGAAAATGATTTAGACCTTAGACAACGCCAAATATTTGGGACTTGGAGGAAAAAAAATTAATGATATTGATTAAAGAATTTGATTAGAACCAAAATAGAAATCCTTAAGAGCAATTTGAGATATGTATAAGGTTTTTCTTACACATATCAAAGCGACTATTGAAGTGAGGGATGTATAATTTTTAAACATCAAGGGTGCTAACTCTAATTTTCATAAATATCAGGGGAGGTTTGTGTAATTATCTCTTGCTTTAAATAGATTTTACACACTTAAAAGAAGTTATTCAGCTAAGGAATATTACAATTTACATTTTTACGAGATTTTGAAAATCATAATCACTTCTAAAATTGTATTACTTTAGTCATTAAGAGAGAGCTTATATTTTTGTTTAGTAAATTCTTTTAATTTAGATGCTTCGTTTTGAACTATGATTCGCTACTGCCTGTTTACGAATAGTTTGATAATTTTTCTTTCATTTTTGCTCAATAAGAACCATCAGCTAACAGCAAGCTTTCAAAACATGATAGAATATGGACTGAGGAAATAATGAAGCGAAATGGTTCTTGATATTTTCTTTTCAAAATTAACCTAAAACCTCGATTTTTCTTATGTAATGAAATTGTGCATGTTAGTAACTTGAAAGAGTACGAGTTTTATTACAACAATGGCATTATTCCGGGCCAGTTTGCACAAATAAACTTCACTTGTACTGTGTAAAAGATCTACTTTTGTGACACATTCCAGTATTTTTCTGTCGTATGGAATTGTACAGAAGAGAAGGAACATATATTGCATGCCTAAACATCAGGTGCCGCATTTCTGCTGTTTGTCATGCATCAAGATCAAGTCCAGATGCTTCCAGCTTCGTTCGGGCAATTTGATCAAGACGCTCCTCCATCTCTGCTGTTAGATAATTCTTTGAATCCCCAGTGACACCAAGCCTGAAATAGCTACTA